GGAATGTGGCGCGGAAGGTATTTAATCGAGCGGCCGAGACGAGAGAGCAGGAGGAGACGGAAGTGAGCGCCAGAGCGCGTAGGGATTCCGCCGTGTAGTCGGCGAAGGTTTTGGTCCGTAGGGACGAAGCCGGAGATGAAGAGGATTTCCACCTGAGGGGTGAAGGCTCGAGCTACAGGCAAGAGCGTGTGTTTACCGCTATCGAGCGAAGACGCGTGGCAACAGCTGCTGGTGTGAAGCCGACGTGCTCCGGCGAAGAAGTTGAAGTTCGAAGAGTGGCCACTTGAAGACGGGAGGTTTCCTGGAAGAGAAACTTCGAGGGCTGCGGAACGACAACAACGCTGGACGTTGAGTGATTCTCGGAAGAGTATCATCTAGACTTTGGTTCCAAGAACTTTGGACTGAATAGGTTTTCTATCTCTTTAGTCTTTAAGTGTCTTGGTTGTTCAATGCATGCGACTGCATTGTAGTGCGTATTGTTGTCCGTGTCCGTGGTTTCAAGTGTGGCTGATTGTATTGTGTAGTACGTTGATTGATTGGTTTGATTGGTGACATATTGTATGCAACTATTGTGGAGTGTGCATTTTTGTGTATTGTTTTCGATCTGCCATTATTGAGAATATAATTTGTTTATCAACTCTCGGCTCTGACTTGTTCTTTGGACCACAGCCGGCGTCCGCTGGCGCACCAAAAAGGACCACTTCTAAATTGTCCACGCTTTCGTGGTGCGGTTCGGGGGGGCCGATACTTCGGCTCTTGGAATTAGCCCGGCGATCGCCTCCCTAATAAACGGGACATGTGTGACAATGGCACTTTGTTGAACAAGCGCCTAGTTTTGGCATCCTTCGGGAAAATGCCGTGGGATGGATTAGTATCATTTGATGCCCTGTGATTTCAGCTTGCCGACGAACGCTTGAAGTGCGTTGAGCAGTGATTGAAGAACTATTAGGATAGCTTTGTCTCCTGGCAATGCCGAGGTGCGCTGTGAACCGGCATGATGCTGCTGCTTCGGCAACGAAGGCCAAACTGTGTCAGTTGTGTTCATGGTGGTCTTGTTGGAATCGACCGTCGCTGATCCATGTGACTGCGGCTTTGGCAATGCAGGTCAAGTGGAGTCCACAGACACCATGCTTTTTCATGGCGTTCTGCTTCATACCAACCGAGTATAATCCGGGTGGAGAAGGAGATGGTGAAGAAGGGCGTCGAGTGGCCGCTGCGGATGCAGATGCATTGGATTTTTCTAACCAACTTCGGCGCCAACGGCGCCACTTTCTGACGGTTGCGGCGGCATCGCAATGCGATGCATGGTCTCTCACCATTTGCCTCAATACAGCTATCTCTTTTTTGATTTTTGGGCAATCGTTTGAGGAAGCTTCTTGGGGTCCATTGCAATTTGAACATTTGAAAACAGTGGCTTTACAAGTGGCTGCGGAAAGCATTTCAGCACAGTGAGAACAAACTCGCTTGCCCTCGCATACGGTTCTTACATGACCGAGTTTCATGCAGTTGAGACATTGCAGCGGCTTCGGCACGAACGCTCTTACAGAGTATCGAAAGTAGCCCACCTTTACGTGCGAAGGTAGAGAGTTGCCTCTATAATCCATTTTCACACAGCGTGAGGTATACTCAATCGAGCAACCTTCACGATGACACTTGATTCATTAACTGGCTTCACCAGGCCACTCAAGTTCAAGTTGGGAATTGCTGCGTCAGCGTCGTAGATCACACCGGTGACGATGTTGGAGCTCATTGGTATGTATGAACGGACGTTCATACCACCCACCTCTGTGATGTTGCGAAGAACGTTCAGTGCAGTAGCATGCTAAACATCAATCGCCATGACATTCTTACGCTGGTTCAATTTGATGTCAATGATTTCATCTGGCACCAATCGCTCGAGCCATGCCGAAACAGATTGCCTGTTGAGGCGCTTCATGTCGCCGTTGGGCTCAGTAGGAACTAAAATGATGGGTTTTGGCGTCTGGCCTTTGTGGAGGAGCTCGTTCATTCGGTGTGTTTGAGGATGAAGAGGCCCTGGCGTTACGTTTTTTTTTTGTCTTTCAGCTCGTTACTACTTTGAAGTCATCAGATGGCCGCTTACCTGTCAGTGAGTAGCCATCAATGTCCTCGCTGTCGCAGTCAAGTCCCGTCCGCTTTCTGGACGTGGCCATCGGGGACGCCAAAGGGCCTGGTAGATATCCGAACTGCTCCTTGTACGTCGCTGATGGACGCAGCAGTGAAGTTCACGAGGGGCATAAATTATAGCTCAAATCATGGCAAGAGATACTCGAAAACAGCGTACCGCTTGGCACACACTGGCCTGAACTGGAAGGAATCCCGTGCTACGTAATGTAAGAATGCCTTGCTACCAAAGAAAATTTTGAAATGGGTCATTTCTAGAGGAAGAAAAAACACCACTGGGACAAAAAAAAAACGACTGATTCTGGTTCAGAAAACACTGCAGATTTTGAATGACAAAAAAAAAAGATTGTTTATAATATTTTCATTTAAACATAAGAAAAATCGTTCCATTGGACAGAAAGTTTGTTATGTACAAACCATTGAACAGGATATAGTGCCTTCATACTTAGCAAGCAGGAGATCTAGTAACCCATACTTCACGAGCGAATTATTAAAATACAGGTGTCCCAATAAATCGATTATAGACCCACCCGTCCCCTGTGCCTCTGCTCCTGTGTCCTGTGCCGTGCCTGAACAGAAGTACTCAAAAACGTGTTCTGAAATACACATCTTGAAATACACATGCTGGAGGTTGAGGACGAGCTGCCGTCCCCATGGCGAAGCTCTTCCAGTAGCATCACCTTTACTCGAATACGCTGATCCGATCCCCCGATGATGATGGCGTCACTCTTCGTTTCTACACAGTTTTCAACCCCCCCCCCCCCCAAATGGCGCATGACAATAAACAATAAGCACATGTCCGGGTTTTTAGCACAAGATCTTCAGTATTTATGTGGATTCCAATCAGTCCATGAGAGACGATTTCAGTTTCCACCTTGGCCCGCCGCGGTAGTCTAGTGACTATTGTACTCGGCTGCTGATCTGCAAGTCACGGGATCGAATCCCGGCTGTGGCGGCTGCATTTTGCTGGAGGCGAAAAGGCTGTAGGCTCGTGTGTTCAGGTTCGGGGGCACGTTAAAGAACCCCAGATGGTCGAAATTTCCGGAGCCCTCCACTACGGTGTCTCTCATAATCATATGATGGTTTTGGGACGTTAAACCCCACATATCAATCATATCAATCAATGTTACGCAAAGTCCAGGTGGGGAAGGGGGGTGCAGTAGCTATCTCTGATGTTTAGAGTTTTTCGATTTCTTCAACTTGGATGTTTTCGTCTCACTGGCGGCACCAAAAGTGTGGATAAAAGAACTAGCCGCCATCTCCACGGCGAAGCTCCCAATAACATTTTTATTTGAATACGTTGACCTGACCCCCCAATGATAATCGCGTCGCTCCTTGTCTCCTATGCAGTTTTCAACACCGTGTCATGCGCGTACTATCAACGTGCAAGTGTATTTCATGGATGCTGACGTTTTCGATGATGTATACAGCATATATTTTGTATTTCACTATTCCTTTGGTTACCTTTTATTTTGTCACACATTATAAAACATGTGGCACAAAAATAAACTTCATAGTGCACGCATCACCCTCTGTGTGTGTGTTTTTTTTTCTTTGGTCACTTCGTCCATTTCCTGGCAACGCGAAAAAATATGCATTAGTGGCAGCTTGCTTACATAGCAGTTTAACTTACAGATACTGAAATACATTGGAGTTACGAGGTTATTCTGGAGGCAATATTGCAAGAAGAAGCGTTCTGGAATACAGATACAGATGTTCATTTTCGAGTGAATTCGGTGTTTCATTATTGCTTGCCACTTTGTTAGTTACTTTGACGCGCAACCACGATCCCCCGCCTCTCTCATTTCAATTTTTTGCAAGCGCTGCCGAGATGTTCGTGACGCTAATACATCGCACGCTCAACTATCAAATCACCGTGGCTACATTTCATGCATCTGCTGACATTATGAACACGAGATTTTTTTTGAACAGTATTTTACTTCCCGGAATAAACACGAATTACCAAAACTCTACAGCTTCTTTCACTGCCATTAAGTTCTGCAACACATTGCCACTCGATGTTAAAGCATACCACACAGCATTAATATTTGAAAGACATTGAAAAGAAACATATACTATAGATACACTGCTAATTAAAGATTCATTGTAATTGTAGAACAATTTGATTCAATTTATTGAACTTTCTCTCTCTCTCTCTCTCTCTCTCTCTCTATATATATATATATATATATATATATATATATATATATATATATATATATATATATATATATATATATATATAATGTATCTTCATTTTTATATAGTTTAATTGTTTGGAACTTTTTTCCCCGTTTTATGATTCCTTCTTTCCAAAAATTTTAGTGTTCATGTTGTTCAAATTTACAAGCATGCTACTTAATTATCGTTCAAAACTACGTCGTGTTCCCTGACAAAGCCTCATGTTTACAAGAATTATGTTGATTGTATTTTATTCATCGTTTCTAATGGGACCTGTATTATTTGCTTAAGGATAACTTTTCATGCAACCATTTACCTTGTTTTGTTGATTCTTTCCATTATTAATATTTTTGGCTATATGTTCTGATTTATTGTTTCCTCGCCTCCTTTACTTATATTGTTATTAATGTACTATGTTGCCATTATAAGCAGTTTACAGGCTTTGTCTAATGACTGATCCCCCGGACATTTTTGTAACTCCGGGACCTCCTCCTATACTAAAGATGAATTAAAAATTGAAATTAAATTCCTTTTCCGTCTACAGGACGGCATAGAGGCTGTGCTAAACTATACAGCTAACATCCCTGCTTTTCCCTTCTGTTTTTCTTTGCTCGTTTGAATAAAAATCTCGTATTCCATATTCGTCATTCTCACTGTAATTTCCTTATTTCTTCCAGGCAAATTGGACAACGTGTGACTGATATTCAGAGAAATTTCACAAATCAAGAGACAAATCCTGGACACATCAGATATGAGCTTTCGAGAAGACTGGGCACATATGGAAGGCACGTCAGATGCTGCCATGTGCAAAGAGATGGAAGTAGATATGGAATGGCAAGTTCCCTGCACAGCTGCAGAGGACAGAACGTGCCAGATAGCAGATCACATTTCAGTTTTGAACAGACTGCTCTGGTGGACTGGACTTCGGCTGCTCGAGCTATCAGAGGGCGACGGCCAGCTAGCTGTGGTGGATTGTCAAGCTTCTGCCTATGAGCTTTGCTTGGGAGAAGAAAGGCGTATGGCACTTGAATGTCTGGCTTGGTTGCTGACATCTCACCCCTGTGTGACATCCCTGTACGCAAACAAAGAAATCCATGAAGCTTACCATGAAGCAGTCTTCCGGGGTGCGCTTGATGCGAACTGCTCGCTGAAGTCACTCACTGTTGACGTACCTTCAGCTGACTATTTCGGAGACGTTCGTGCGATCATTTGTGCTTTGCCCCAACTAGACAAACTCGAGGTCCGGTCAGAAGACCTGGAGTTACAAGTTGCGCTGGCCATTTCAGAAGCACTAAGTACGAGAATGCTGACTGTGCTTGACATTTCAATTGGAAAAATTGCAAGTGAGAGCGCTTTCAATGCCTTAATGACGGCTCTCAAGGCAAACTCCACCCTGCGAGAGTTGTCAGTTAACGATAAGCTGTTTATCGGCAGTTGCGGAGGTAGGGAGCAAAAGTTCACACACTATTTGGCAAGGGAATCGATGCTTGACACGATGAGTATTCGTGTGACAAGCACTGATACATTGAAGTGTGTCCTGCTAGGCATGCGCAACAACGAAAGGATGTCCACATTGAATTTGCTCGGACAGTTTCCCGATGACATAACTTTATGCGAGATTTTGCGGGACATTTTCTTGCAAAATACTGCTTTAAGCAGCATCACGATGTCAGCCCTCGATGGCCATTTTGCGATTCCTCATGAGAATGGTTTTGGAGTGTGGCTCGAGGGCCTTGCGAAGAACAAGACGCTGAAACGCATGAAGTTCCCGTTCACGATGATACCTCGTGATAGGTGGCACTCAATTTTCGAAACTGTGTCCACACACACAGGGCTCGAAAAAGTCGTCGTGGAGGTGTCAGATTCGAAGTTCGATGAACTTGAATGGTTCAAGACTTACCCACGGGCACGCAGGCTGCATGACGCACTGCTTGACGTATGCAGGAGCCTTGACAGTAGCAGCGCTAAAGGCAAGGTAACTTTCATCTTCAAGACACTACAACCGCACAATCTAGACGCCACTACATCAGATTATTTTTCTTTCCTGATTCCTCGTGGAGAGATCACAAGTCCACCGATGAATGTAATAAAGCAGCTCTGTTCTTTTGAGAGTCTCAAAATGACAGAACTACGAGTAGACCTGTATGTCCTGGAAGGACGTCAATTGGAAGTTGCTAAGTTCATAAGGGAAACTACTACGTTGCGGAAACTGCGTCTTATCGACCAGTTCCTCATGATCTCGGATATGCTCAGCTATATGATCTGGGAACCCATTTTGCAGTCGCTGTGGGAAAACACCAGCATAAGAGAAATCACCGTATACACAAAAGACGACACCCACGAATGTTTCGACCGCCTTCTTGAGCTAGTGGCATTAAGCAAGACAATCAGAAAACTGAACGTATATCGTTCTGGCCCTTTCGACTCCGGGATCTTCGAGAACTACAGTCTCTGCAACTTCAGAATGTTGATAGATGATTCAGAAGAATTGAATTGGTTCGATTGGTGCGACACATCGTGGCGAAACTCTGGCATCGTGGCACGGGCTGCTCATATTATGAATGAAACCAGGTGGGACAGGTAAGCATATCAATTCTCTTTCTCTGCGCAGTCTCATCCGTATTGTCACATGGTTTTTACGACAAGAAAAGTTGCGAATCCGACAGCTTAGGATGAAACTCTATATTCCAACTTGTGCCCAGAAACTTAAAAAAACAAAAAAGGCAGCGCTATCAATGAAAAGATAGCGCCGAGCAGAATTGTTGGTCATGAGTAATCTATTCAGTGGTACGTGTCAGATTGTATACTTGCCAGTCGATAATTGTATACTTGCCAGTCGATAATAATAATTTCTGGGTTATAAGTATCAAAACCGTCACACGAGGGAGAACGTACAGTAGAGGATTCCGAACTTTTCGATCCATCTGGTGTTGCTATAGCGCAGCATGTGGGCCTAAACCGCGCCTGGTCGAACCATAGTGGTGGTTCCGCCTGTAGCAAGCGGCACATATAATAAATATACCAGTTGCAATATGGTGAAACCTGAGCAGGGGGGCCGCACGGGCACATATGGGGCCGTTCTTTTGTGTTACTTCTGTTCTAACGCCAATGTTTGAGGTAAGCATGTAGTAGTAGCAGCAGTAGCGGCAGCAGCAGCAGCAGCAGCAGTAGTAGTAGTAGTAGTAGTAGTAGTAGTAGTAGTAGTAGTAGTAGTAGTAGTAGTAGTAGTAGTAGTAGTAGTGGCGTGGTGTTTATCAAAGGAAATGACGCTAATTTCGGCAGCCCCGCCGGGGTTAGTAATGTTTTAGCGATTTTAAGTGAATGCAAATTTTTTTCTAGATATATTTCTGTTGAATCCAATATTTCAGGCCTTGCTCGTTCACTTTAATGCTGGTTTGAGAGAGAGTAGGTTTGAGTAACCTATTTGAGCAAACTATGTTACCATTTACTACAGGCGTTCTGTAGTGAACGCCTGTAGTACAAGCTTTACGTATGTTATCGCCTGTAATGAACGCTTTACTGTTCACTACAAGCGTTCTGTAGTGAACGCTTTATTTATGTTATCGCCTGTAGCGAACGTTTTAGCGTTCGCTACAGGCGTTCTGTAGTGGGTGCCTGTAGTGAACGCTTCACCTCTGTTATCGCCTGTAGTGAACGCTTTACTTATGTTATCCTTTATAGTGAGCGCTTTTTGTAGTGAACGCTTTACTTCTGTTATCGCCTGTAGTGAGCGCTTTTTGTAGTGAACACTTTACCTCTGTTATCACCTGTAGTGAGCACTTTTTGTAGTGAACGCTTTACCTCAGTTATCGTCTGTAGTGAGCGCTTTTTGTAGTGAACACTTTACCTCTGTTATCGCCTGTAGTGAACGCTTTACCTATGTTATCCCCTGTAGTGAGCACTTTACCGCGAGCATGTTCACGCCATACAAGATTGTATACGGATGGAAATGCCGGTCCCCGACAGTGCTCCGTACATAAAAAAAAATGATAATTGCAAGCGGCAGCATGAAAACCAATAAATTGTTTAACCAAGACTTCAGGGATTCCATAGAGGGCATATCTTTAACTACGTGCAATGTTTGTTATTTCTAAAAAAAACAAGTATGCCAAAATTTGGCACGCACTACAACATTGTGATCTTAATACGTGCCATAAAGTCAATAATTCAAAAGTTATGTTTTAGTTAGTCATACTGCGGCAGAAGAAGTCAGAAAAGCTTTAGAGAGCATGCAAAGAGGCGAAGCTGCTGGTGAGGATCAGGTAACATCAGATCTGCTGAAAGGTGGAGGACAGATTGTGTTAGAAAACTAGCCACCCTGTTTACGAGGTGTCTCTTGACGGGAAGAGTACCAGAGCCTTGGAAGAATGATAACATCATCTTAACACATAAGAAAGGAGATGACAAGGACTTGAAGAATTACAGGCTGATCAGCTTGCTCTCTGTAGTATACAAGCTATTTACAAAGGTAATTGCTAACAGAGTAAGGAAAACATTAGATTTCAATCAACCAAAGGAACAAGCAGGATTTCGAACAGGCTACTCAACATTCACACTATCAATCAGGTAATAGAGAAATGCTCAGAATATAACCAATCACTATACATAGCCTTCATAGATTACGAGAGGGTGTTTGATTCAGTAGAAATATCAGCCGTCATACAGACACTGCGGAATCAGGGCGACGATGGAGTATATATAAACATCCTTGAAGAAATCTACAGGGGATCAACTGCTACCATAGTGCTTCATAAAGAAAGCAACAGAATACCAATCAAGAAGGGTGTAAGGCAGGGGGACACAATCTCTCCAATGCTATTTACCGTGGTCTTCAGAAGCCTAGAATGGGAACAGTTAGGGATAAGAGTTAATGGAGAGTAGCTTAGTAACCTGCGCTACGCCGATGACATTGCATTGCTGAGTAACTCAGGGAACGAATTGCAACTCATAATTACGGAGTTACACAAGGAGAGCAGAAAGGTGGGTCTTAAAATTAATCTGCAGAAAACGAAAGTAATGTACAACAACCTCGGAACAGAGCAGTGCTTCGAGATAGGTACTAGTGCACTTCAAGTTGTAAAAGACTATTTCTACTTAGGGCAGGTAATAACCGCGGAGCTGAACCACGAGACTGAAGTAACTAGAAAAATAACAATGAGGTGGAGCACATTTGGCAAGCACGGTCAAATTATGACTGGTAGATTGCCACAATCCCTCAAGAGGAAGGTATATAACAGCTGTGTCTTGCCGGTACTTAGCTACGGAGCAGAAATCTGGAGACTTACAAAGAGGGTTCAGTTTAAATTGAGGATGACGCAGCGAGCAATGGAAAGAAAAATGGTAGGTGTAACCTTAAGGGACAAGAAGAGAGCAGAGTGGATTAGGGAACAAACGGGGGTTAAGGATATCATAGCTGAAATCAAGAAGAAGAAATGGACATGGGCCGGGCATGTAGCGCGTAGACAGGATAACCGCTGGTCGTTAAGGGTAACTAACTGGATTCCAAGAGATGGAAAGCGGGTTAAGGGGAGACAGAAAATTAGGCGTACAGATGAGATTAAGAAGTTTGCGTGCATAAATTGGCAGCAGCAAGCACAGGACTGGGTTAAATGGCGGAACATGGGAGAGGCCTTTGTCCTGCAGTGGACGTAGTCAGCCTGATGATGATGATGGTGATGATTGCGGCAGAGTGTTTTTGCTTCCACGCGTGTGCGAGGACAGCAGGAGCCTTACTCGGCGGATTTTTATAGAAAAAATGGGCACTGTTTAATGCCCCCACCTCCCGTATATATATATATATATATATATATATATATATATAATATATATAATATATATATATATATATATATATATATATATATATATATATATATATATGCATTGTTTCAATAATTCTGGCAATTGAGGTGAGCGTTTCGAGCCAGGCCATAAAATACATTTCAAAAGAATCTGCGAAACCCTCAAGCTCGCAATTTGGAATGTATGGCACAAATGCGAAATGAAAGTACCCAGTAAGTCTCATTGAGATCTATTGACCTCGAAAAATTGCCGAATTTGGCCTTCAAGGAGCTTTGCTCATCGGTTGTATTCGTACACGGAACCACTTCTAGCTTTCTTTTTTTTTTTAGTGCAACCAAGCAGTTCTGTATTCCGCTACTATTCTAGCCAGTCCTGCTCGCTTCTCCGCTCGTCTTGTGTGCAGCGTGGCACTCTTTTGCCAATGTTTTCACGCGGAAAAAAATCGTCATCCTCCCGGTTTCATGGTGTGGTCGCTTTCCTGCAACAGGTACAGTCGATGAGTGAGCGGCGTGCCTGATTTTCTGTTCGTTTGGGAAGGCGTTCGCAGAACACCTTTCAATGCCGACCCTACCTAAAAACGCCTGTTGCTACACTGCCGTTTCTGTATGACTAAAATAACTCATCAGTATCAACATGATCATTATGACACTAATTTGACGCGTGACATGCTATACATACTATGACATGATATACTACTACTACTACTACTACTACTACTACTACTACTACTACTACTACTACTACTACTACTACTACTACTGGTGATGTCACCGAGCATCGAGGTTTGCGCTGTGCTGTGGCGCGAGATGAGGCAGAAGACTGTGTAACGGGTGAAATGCTGCTAATCATAACTAATGCCTTTATTTTGTAGCTGTGCTTCTCCAAAATTTTGCGCGGTTGCCACTGCAACCTTTTGTGCGTCACGTGTGTGGGTAAACACATTCGCTGTAAAACGACAATTCGGTGATTGTTATACAGGCCAATCCGCCCTACTGTCCTTCGCTTCAGTGTCGTTCACATTACGTAGCCAAACTAGGAATCCGGCCACGTCATTTGGCATGATTTCCTGCACAGGCTAATTTGTAATGGAAGCGTTCGCCGTTCAGGCTTTTCACTGTGGTTCATGTGTGCTGGCAGGTGGTGTGCCATTGCCCTGGAGACCGTTTCACTGATGGAAGAGCTCGCCGAAGTGCTCCCCGAGAGCGAGGTCGACATCGAGACCCGGGTTAGAGATCGACTCAGGGACTTTCGGGACATGAATGCATTCATGCAACTGACTGGCGTCGTCAAAGAAAAGGTCGCATGTCATCCACGGGAGGACGGGCGCAAGCAGCTTAGCGACCTGGACGAGGATTGCAGGAGGCACCTGATGCGCTACCTGCGAGTGAGCGATATCCGCTGGGCCTCTACGACTGCAAACAGCACCGCTCTACAATGAAGGCCGTTTATTTTTGTGCTAAACACTCTTGAAGGCATCCTTGCCATTCCATAACTGTTTCATTAATAGTGGTACCAAAGTGTGAAAGCTGTTGACCAAGGAGTGATTTATAATTCATTTATATTCGTTTCGAATGACCTGGGTGTCAGTATTGTTACAGTGATTGCATGTCGAAATATATTTGTACGGCATTGAATATTAGTAAAGTTTACTAACTTGTGTGGTTAAGTGTTTCTAGAGTCTACCGAAAGTAGTAGAAAGTCCGCTCAAATAGTACTCGGATGTAATATTGTTTTAGCATGGCATTATTCGTTGTGTCTGTTCAGCACACAATTGTTTTTCTACGTACAACTAAGAATTTAATCGAACTCCTGTGAACATTGTTAAGAAAACTTTCAATGTGCTTTTTGAATGACTGCGTGTCAAGCTGTAGAAGAAGTCGTTCTTTTACCAATGTTTATCGCATTCAACGAGTAACCAAAGCGCAAGATTTATCCTTCAGTTCACGTGTTTCAAACACGTTGCCCACTGACATCTCGTTTGCTGCCTGCGGCCCGCACATGACAACCATTGTCGCTTATCTTTTCTTACGAATTTGTGACAGTTCGCGACACTTCAAAATAGTTCTTGCATTGTTTTCTCGCCCACGGGGAATCTACGCCAACTGGATTTGTCTTAAGCGTGCGCGCGTGTGTGTGTGATGCACTCGATATGGTCACATAACCGCGAAACAGACTGCATGCTTCACAATCGGTGTGTAGATTTTAGTGTATGAAACCTAATCCCCTTTAGAACGACCCATATGAGACACGGGAAAGGCCGCCTTTCAAATGGCAACGCTGACATTTTGTTCGTACTCGTCCTCCCCCTCTTCCCGCCCGCTTGTTAGGGCCGTTCCACGCGCTTCCCGCACAGCCGCAACGCACGTGCCGGGACCCCTACCGCACGCAAGCGGGGGACAAATAAGCCAATTGGTGACGCTTTTTCACCCTCGTGAGCATCGCCAATCGGCTTATTTGTCCCCCGCTTGCGTGCGGTAGGGGACCCGGCACGTGCGTTGCGGCTGTGCGGGCAGCGCATGGAATGGCCTTAAGCCAATTGGCGGTGCTCTTTCACCCTCCGCTTGGGCGCGGCAAGTGTGCCGGCACGTGCGTTGCGGCTGTGCGGGAAGCGCGCGGAACGGCCCTTAGGGCCACTTCACGCGCTATCCGCCCTGCGGCACCGAAGGTGCCGGGATGCCTGCCGCACTCAAGCGGAGGGCGAAAGAACGACGCCGATTCACTCCCTCGTCCCGGCTGTGCGGATATCGCATGGGTAGGCCCTTAATGGCCCGGTCCTTTGTGGGACTAAATTTTGTGACTGCGGCCCGGTAGCTGAAATGAGACCCCTGCTCGTGTATGTTCTCCCCAACAGTCTACGCGTAACGCCTGTCCGCCTGTTACACCCTAGTCAGAAATCCAGAATTCCGTGCATCAATTTGTCACTTAGCCGTAGAAAAATGGTATCCCAAAAACGATAACCAAACACCACTGAATGCACCTTTTTCAGAGGAAAAAAAAGTGCTTCGCAGAAGAACTTACTCTTGCAATCAGTTTACATGTTCTGGAACAAGCACGAATGATACGAGAGTTGTCACTCCCCTTGTTGTCATAGCTTCTCAATAAACATTAAGTATTCGTGTTCTTTTATTTTTATTTTGTCCTTTTCGGACTTATCTGCTATGCATATGTTTGTTTGTGCTTATTAATAATTTTGATACTTTTTGAGTAGCTTGTGTACTCCTATGCTGATTGAAGGCTAATATGTCTCTCTTGTATTCAATTTCACCATTGTGCTTTAATTATGATGTAACTTCGTACCTTCCGAGTGAAATAAATAAAAAAGCCAATTCAACGCTGGGCAAAATCTGAATAAACGGCAGAGCTGACGGTCTCCGGTGTTTCAGATTTTCTGTGATGTTTCGTTATTTCACCATGTGCCTTGAAATATCGGTTTTAGGGAGTGAGATGCACCAAAAGCAACTGGTGCCATCACAAGCCATGCCTGTGTCTGCTACAGTGACTGTACGCTTCATTCACGCTCGAGCCACCCTTGCCCATTTCATGGCGCCGAGACACGTGGGACGTCTACGGGCGTATATTGGAAGCGTTGTGTGACACGGACACTCCATCTGTCGTCTGGCTCAGCCCTAAAGCAGCCCCGCTGTTAATAAGTATGCTGCGCGACTGTGGAACAGCAAACGCACATCAGATAACTTTAAAGTCAAATCCCCAAAGTGGCTTGCGCACGCGATCAAATCGCAACTTTGTGCTCTTTGTGGGCACGGCTGGGGGAACAAAGCAGTGCAAGAGACGGCGCACGTAAGCCGCCCGGGGTCGCCGACTCTAAATGTCTCCCATATCTTTTCACTTCAAAGTCCGACGCTTCGTTACCGAGATGCAGGTGATGTCGACCACACTGGGTCGCCTATAGAGAATCGTCCACTATGAGAAACGAGTTGCAGATCAGTGCTTCAAGGTAAGGTTAGAATTAGGTTAGGGTGTAGGTAGCCGGTAGATCTATGACCTTGTATAATTTGCAGGCAATTGCCCGCTTTGCAGCGGCTAAAACATGGATTGGTTTTGGATCGTTGCACCCAAAGATCACTGCGGATGCTTAAAGACCTGCATGTCATTGGTATAAGCATTAAGTTTCAATGGATTCCATCACATGTGGGTATAGCAGGTAATGAGGCGGCTGGCAGACTTGCCCGGAGTGCTTTGGGACTGACACCAACAAAGAAGGCTCCCAAAGAAGGCGTCTTTTACGAGAAGCTGTTAACAAGCGTTTCCACTTGTGATAACTGACGCCTCACCAGCCATCTGTGATAGAAGGACCATAAAGGGAAGAGGCCTGCTTGCTTCATCGCATCCGAACGGGGTCAGCGCGTAAACTAGCATGGATCCACAAGATCACTCTCCACGACGCCCTTGTGCCCGAAGTTCAAGGGAAATGTTTTTACAGAACACTGTGTCGTGAGCTTAAGAAGGAACGGCAAGGTTTATTTGAGGAACTGCAACGTTTAGGCTCGCCAGGTGACTGATACTGTGTTTCCGTGTGGTCACTCGATTTAAAGGAAACAGGTGTCGCGACTTCTTTTGAAATCGTTGAATGTTACAGACCTCGCATGTGACTGGTGATAAGTGGCAATTATGTTTGGGGTATGGTGCAGCGAGTTAGAGTACTGGCACAATATACTGCATGTGGAATAGCACGGAGGCCGCCGTCTTATGCAGGTCTACGTCTTTATTTTAAGAGCATGTTCGTGCTTAGTTAAAAACAAAGGACATCAGCTACAATTAGCAAAGAGGAGTGCTTCAAGTGAAGCCTACTATAACTGTTCACGCTTGTAAGATATCGGGCGCTTACGATCAGCTGCAATTTATTCTTGAACGGTGTATACGTGGTTCAATTGCTTCAGCGCGTCTCCCTCTGACCCTTCACTGTTATCTTTTACACCCGCACTGCACACCGTAACCTTAATAGGGGAGTTCACCGGAACCACCTGAACTCTGCCTTCCCACCCATCCCCTTTCTCCCTCCTGATAAATGAGCTAACTTATTTCTTTGGCGATTTATTTTTAATACGCGCAAAGTAGTACTTACATTATAGATAGGGGGGCTGGGACACTGGTATCTAACAAAAAGCTCAGGAGGAAGAGAAGAAAAAAAAACGCATGAATATCTGGCATAAGCCACGGCGGGAACTCGGATGTCACTACGAATAACAGCATGCCACGCACGTCGCGTGGGTATCTCAAGAAAAGGTTGATAGCGTGCGTTCCTTATCTGTTCATTTTTCTCATGCTTATCTAGCCAGTGTAAGAAGAAAAAGATTGGGGAGGGGGGGGGGGGCGCTTAAGCTTCGCCTTTAAGAGTTGAATGTGATAGCGTTCCCTTCCCTTAGTACGCACTTCAACCACTCGGTGCATTCTTTGATTGCATCTGCTACTTGAGAAACTTAAATTATGGATAACTTCATTGTATTCGATAAAGTTGACACTGGCTTGTGCCACTGAATTATTCGCATATGGCTGCATTCTGTGTAGTAGGTAGCATGCTTTACCACGATCAATTAGGCGCTTTCAATGTGTCCCAACTTGCTACGCACCGACTACGTGCACCTTAAGGGAATACGTGCAGTAACACGTGCGCCTATTGTAAAAGGTGGCTGGCTTTAAACCACGAAGCCGTTATAGTAATCACATGATCTCACGCCCGATGACAATGTGCTCATGTACCATGCAATAATAATGTGATGTTGCACGTTTTTATTGTGAAGCCGGTATGCAGGATGCGTCTGCTTGCAATGCGTTAACGCTATTTTCGCTGCCTTGTCAAGCAGAAGAAGTTATTTTAACTGTACTTCCGATCAGGTGGAACACCTGCTCGCCACGTGAGTTTGATCCGCATCCGGACCCAGATGATTCTGATTTTCGCCTCTTTCGCGATTTTTCAGTCGCTTGGAAGGTTATTTTTCGCTCACTATACCAACGACGCCCACGTCGGCACTGACGCCGGAATATTGTCGAAACGAACTCTTTAACGCTTTCGCGTTAATATATACTTTTTTAGTAACAGAAATAGGGTACTCAAATACGGTACGCTATAACCGCACCACTCCTGCTTTCAAGGTCGCTGACCTTTTACCAGTGAAGGCAGGCCAAACACACGAAAGCTTTTTCAAAAGAATAACTGCCATATCCACAAAGTGAATGATGCTATAGGAGCTTGCTCGGATGTGCACGGGGCCTTCCTTGATTGGCGATACCATTTCTGTGGGAAGGCTTGTTATCGAGCCGGCGCATGATGTGTACGTCGAAGGCAGCGTTGTCTGGCACGTTCCGCGGCCGGTACTGCTCTGTGTTAGGCCACGTCGAGCTGCACCAGCCCCTTTATGCCATATTGGCCGCTGCTGTGCGTCAAATGCCTAACGCTCATGAATGGCAGACGTGGAGCTACTGGGTGTTCTACGGCGGGGTTGAGAGCAGGCAGGTGAGGAAGCTTGGGAGGATATCGGTACATGTGCATAACACTCATCGTATAGGAATTTGCCACGTGCTTTCGTGCAAACAAGGCGATGAAAACAAAGTGAACGTAGTCGCGGGGAGGGCAGTGCGTGGACCATCAAAAACCAACGTTTTGAACACCTTGGGT